TGATGTACTCTATTTTTTATGGTCATTTTGTGACAATTTTTTCATATTTTATAGGGGATATTGTGTTCTTGCCCCTACTTTGATGTCCAATTGTGATTTTACCCTTATTTTTGTCATCGTTGTGATTTTACCTCTTTGTAACTACTAAGGCTCAGTTTATCTCTACTTTTAACTCTGTTAGTTGTTTCCAGAATACAAAAAATTAAAAAACAACAAAACCCTTCACAATAAGACCAAAGGACAATAATACCCCTTTATCCCATCATACCTTCCCCAATTCCCCATTCTCTTTACCGTATCCTCTCTACCTGTCCCGTTCTTCTCTGAAATCCTAGCGGGCGTGGCTAGGCGACGAGGGCATGAGAAGGCTGCTTTGGGCGGGTCGAGCGCCTTGGCGTGAGGAGAGGGCAGGCGCGTGGCTGAGCGGGCGCGTCATGAGCGGCGTTTAGGCGCCATGCGTTGTGTTGTTGCTAGGTGTGCAAGGCTATGGCGGGTTAGAAGCGCGCCGTCGTGCTCCCGGCTTCAAGAAAGAAACCACCGCCACGCCCTGCACACAACATGGTGTCATGCCCGCCTGGCAACCGCCAGATTCCATTTCCTTTTGCTTCTCCACCATCTGCTCCTACCACACCACCACCAGAAGTGAGCCTCTCGGTCGTCGTCCGGCTAGATTCATTCCCAGCCGTGCGTGCAACCACGCACGCGCTTGATTTCGCTCACCGCTTGAAGGCTTTGGCTCGTGTGGCGGCGCCGCCGAACGGAGGGTTTTGCTTCTTTAGTTTTATTTGAGAGAGAGGACGCTACTACTGCTGGATCACAAGACTCGGCAGAGGTGAATTTCCGCCACCCATAGTTCGTGGACTGCGATTCTTAGATTGTGTTTGCGGTTTCTCTTTGTTTGAATTGAAATTGAAATTGAACCTCTGTCAAAGTCTTTGGTCTCTTTGGAAGAAACTAACAATTTCGTGCCCAAGCAATTGCCTTGCAGATCGACGACTTCTTGTTGGTGGAGTGGAAGCTCTCCTCTCAGTGCGTGTTCTTCACCAAGTTCTCGCCTGACGACTTCTTGTTGGTGGACTGGAAGCTCTCCTCTCATAGCCTGTCGCCGTGAGATGGATTTATGCGACGTTGGTGAATAGACTAGGTAAGATTTGGAGCTCATGTGATTTGGTATGTAGGAAAATTAGTATCAATCTATAGGAAGAATAGTTTCTGTTTGTAGAGCGATTTAGCTAATTGTGTATTCAGTGATGTGATTTGTAGGCCAAATCACATGGATATGAGCCTTATTGTTAGAGTTCTGTCATTTTTAGTTTGCCTGATGGGGGACCAAAATCATGGCAACAGGGTAGAACCTTGCCTACTCAAGTTGTTGACATGCATAGCTTTGACCTACTGCAGCTAGTTAATTTCATAGCTGAGCACAACATGTGGAGTTCAAAATAGTACATAAGTTTGTGGCGTGCATTGGATGAAATTTCTAGAGGACCTTCTATTGAGATTAAAACTGATGAGCAGTTGCTTGAGTGGTTTGAACTCAATAAAGATAAGGGAAATGTGTACATTAATGCCCAAATTAATGATTTTGAGGGTCCATTGTGATTTTTACCAACAAAATGTAGGTGCCACCCTTCTGTAAGGAATAGAGTGCCCACCAATGAGACAAACACTATTGAGAGAGCCACATCCACAAACAAAAAAGAGAGAGCCACCAAAAAAGAGAGAGCCACCAAATCCAAAGCAAAAGGCACACATCATGATGAGGGTGTAGGAGTTGATGAGGAGGGCATATATTCTGACATTGATTCACTTGTGGCAGCAAGTGATAGCAGCTATGATAGTGACTTGGCTGCATCCTCTGATTCTTGTGATGATTGCTCTGACCCTGAGTTTAATCTCGATGAACCAGTTGTTGTTGATAATGATGAATATGACCCTCCACCCTTCTCATATGATGTTGATAATCCATATATTGATGTAAATGTGGTGTTCCCAGACGTGGATCGGTGCAAGTCTGTAGTTACACATCATGCCATCTTGAATGATCATGCTTTTGAGATTGTGAAAAAGGACAAGAGCAGATTTAGAGTCATATGCAAGAGAGCAAATCAGGGTTGCAAGTGGAAGTTTTTTGCATCTACAAGTAAAAAGTACATTGGCTACAAGGTGATTTCAAATTTTTTGTAACATTCAGCATCAAGTAAGAAGTATTAGTGTGCAGCAATTTACTAATAAAATGGTTCTTTTCTTGCTATTTTTTTTGCAGGTTAAGACTAGTGGTCCAAAGCATACTTGTGGTTCATTCAACAATTGTGGTGAAACAATGGCCTCCAATAAATCGGTAGCTGAAAGAGTTGCCGATTTACTGCGGGAAGACCCTGAAATGAGACCAAAGGAGTTGCAAGATAGGCTCAAGAAGAAGTACTTGATAGAAGTTCCATACGATAGAGTTTTCAGAGGCAAGCTAAGGGCAATGGACATCATATATGGGAAGTGGAGTGATAGTTATAACTTGCTACCAACTTATCAAGCTGAGCTTCTAAAAGTAGTACCTGGCAGCATCGTTGACATAGACACTGAAGAAGATGACAATGGTGATTTGTGTTTTAGTAGGCTCTTTGTTGCTCTTAAACCATGCATTGATGGGTTCTTGCAAGGATGTAGGCCTTACATTGCCATGGATGCCACACACTTGACTGGAAGGGGAAGGGGTCAGTTAGCAGCAGCTGTTACAGTGGATGGTCAAAACTGCTTATTTCCAGTGGCTTATGGTATGATTGAGACCGAGTCTAAGGGAAGTTGGACTTGTTTTGTGACAAACTTAAAGAAGGCTATTGGTACTCCTACAGGTTTGGTCATTAGTACAGATGCGGGCAAATGACTTGAGGTGGCTGTACATGATGTGTACCCAGGAGTGGAACATAGAGAATGCATGAGGCACTTGTGGAAGAACATGAAGAATGGGTACAGTGGTGAGCTTTATGGTAAGAATATGTGGGCAGCTGCTAAGAGCTTCACAAATGACAAGTTCAAGTACTTCATGCGAAACATAGAGGAGAAGGATCCTAGTGTACTATCCTGGTTGGATGACAACCATCCATTTGTGTGGAGTAGAAGCAAATTTGCGGAAGAATGCAAGGTAGATTACATCAACAACAACCTCTCTGAAAGCTTTAACAGTTGGGTGTCCAAAACCAAGAATTTTCAAATTGTGGATATGCATGACAAGATAAGACAAATGATCATTGAGAAATTTATTTTGAGAGCCAAGATTGCTAGTAAAATGTCAGGCACAATCATTCCAGCTATGACCAATGCTCTAAATGCTAAAGCCAAGAGTATCAAGGACCATGAGGTATTGATATGTGGAGCTGGAACAACTGAAGTAACTGTGAACAGATTTAGGTATGCAATCAACTTAGGACAAAAACATGTAGTTGTTGGGCTTGGCAAGTAACTGGACAGCCCTGCACACATGCTTTAGCTTTTATTTCTAAGATTAGTAGAGAGTTACGAATGAATGACTTTGTGCATGAATACTTCTCTGTTGATCGGTTAAAAAAGGCATATGCATGTTCTTTCAATCCAATGACATCAAGGATAATTGGCCACATGTTGATTTGGGCTATAAAATTAAGAAGCCTAAACTGAGAAGGAAACCAGGAAGACCAAGAAATTCTAGGATCAAGTCCTATGATGAGGCCACCACCAGTAAGAAAAGGAGACCATGTTCTGAATGTAATGAACTAGGCCATATAGCGAAGCATTGCCAAGGAGGTCCAACTGCTAGTCAAAAAAGGAATTGCTCATCTTCTCAAAATGAATCATCTACACAAGAAATGTGAGTTATGCTCATTTGTATTTTTTTTTGCTTCTTTACTCATGCTTATTTAGTCAACTTGTTTACTGAACCATTTTTCTCCATTCATGTGAAGTGCAAGTGCAACTGCAAGTGCAAGGGGAAGGGGAAGGAGAAGAGGAAGTGCAAGTGTAGGACCTGGAACAGAAGGAGCATAAGGGGCTAGAACAGAAGGAAGAGGAAGAGGAAGAGGAAGAGGAAGACGAGGGAGGTTGTGTGCATTGTTAGAAATAGATGCATGAATGTGATGTATGACACTGAACATGTAATATCTCACTATTAGCTACCGCTTTTGTTGGACTTGTATGTTGGATGAGGCTTGGTACTGTATGGATACTTTTGCTACACTTTAATTTGATATGATATTATCTATCTATATTTGCATGCTGTGTGGAATCATATGTAACAAGTTGTACAATGATGCTGCCAAATTAAAAAAAAATATGGGTAAAATCACAATATATTTAGATAAGTAGGGGCAATTTCGCATGGACAAACTTGTCCTTACTGAGCCCATTCGACACTGTTACCTGCTGTTCCCAAGTAGGGGTAAATTTAAAGTTTCGTTTTCAAAAAACAGAGGTAAAATCACAACGATGACATAAACAGAGGTAAAATTATAATTGAACATTAAAACAGGGGCACGAACACAATAGCCCCTATTTTATAATAGTAATCATGTTTCTTGATAAATATCTGACATAAGACATTTTTTTGAGCGTTTTTATTCAAAAACATTTTTTTTATCGAGAGAATGAGAACCGGCATCGCACGCTATACTTGACCAAAATGCAAGTGCGCCGCTGCCCCTTTTCCCGTTCACTCCGCTTTCTCCCAGCCGTAGCGCCGCATGTGCTCGCAAGTCAACCCACTGCATTGACCGCCAGCCAGCCGCGCCCGCGCGCGCCGCGGGCTCAAAGAGTCAAGGCCGTTTGTTCGTTTCGCTTATAAGGCTTAATTTTTTAGCTAATAAATAATATTTTTCTCGACACAACATATCAGACTTTCAGCCATGGCTTCAGCGCGAACGGGGCAAAGACCACCCCGTGCTCTCCGCCTCACCGCCCCGTCCGGCCCTCCCCGCCCGCCTCACCGCACGAACGGGCACGGGCACGCCGCGCCCCGCTCTGCCACCCAGCCAATGCCGACGCCACCACCCGCCCCCTCCCGCCTCCTCCTCGCGGCCCCACTCCTCGCCATCCTTGCCCTCGCCGCCGTCGCTGCCAATGCCAATGCTGCGACACCGCCGCCATCGCCGGCCGAGGCCCTGCTGGCGTGGAAGTCGAGCCTGGGCGACCCGGCGGCGCTGTCCACGTGGACGAACGCCACCCAGGTCTCCATCTGCACCACCTGGCGCGGGGTCTCCTGCGACGCCGCCGGCCGCGTCGTGTCGCTCCGTCTGCTCGGGCTTGGCCTCACGGGCGGCCTGGACGGGCTCGACCCGGCCGCGTTCCCGAGCCTCACCTCCCTCGACCTCAAGGACAACAACCTCGCCGGCGCCATCCCGGCGTCGTTCTCGCAGCTGCGCGCTCTGGCCACGCTCGACCTGGGCAGCAACGGGCTCAACGGCACCATCCCGCCGCAGCTCGGCGACCTCACGGGCCTCGTCGAACTCCGCCTCTACAACAACAACCTTGTCGGCGACATCCCGTATCAGCTGAGCAGGCTCCCAAAGATCGTCCAGCTCGACCTGGGGTCCAACTACCTGACTAGCGTCTCGTTCTCACCGATGCCCAAGGTGGAGTTCCTCTCGCTCTCCCTCAACTACCTCAACGGCAGCTTCCCGGAGTTCGTGCTCAGTAGCGGCAACGTCACCTACCTCGACCTGTCGCAGAACGCCTTCTCCGGTCCGGTCCCGGACGCGCTCCCGGAGCGGCTGCCGAACCTGCAGTGGCTCAACCTGTCAGCCAACGCGTTCTCCGGCCGGATCCCAGCGTCGCTCGCGAAGCTGACGAGGCTCAGGGACCTGCACCTTGGCGGCAACAGCCTTACTGGCGGCGTCCCAGACTTCCTCGGGTCCATGTCGCAGCTGAGGGTCCTTGAGCTCGGCAGCAACCCGCTCGGTGGGTCGCTCCCACCGGTTCTTGGCCGGCTCAAGATGCTGCAACGTCTCGACGTGAAGAACGCCAGTCTGGTCTCCACTCTTCCGCCGGAGCTCGGCAGCCTCAGCAACCTCAACTTCGTCGATCTCTCAATTAACCATCTCTCTGGGGGATTGCCGGCGTCGTTCGCCGGGATGAAGAGGATGCGGGAGTTCGGCATATCGTCCAACAACCTCACCGGCGAGATCCCGGGGCAGCTGTTCGCGAGCTGGCCGGAGCTCATATCCTTTCAAGCGCAGACGAACTCTTTGACCGGAACCATTCCACCTGAGGTTGGCAAGGCGACGAAGCTGCTAATCTTGTATCTCTACAGCAACAACCTCACCGGCGAGATCCCGTCGCAGCTCGGCGGGTTGGTGAACCTGGCTGAACTGGATTTGTCGGTGAACTCGCTCAGCGGACCGATACCAAACTCGTTCGGCAACCTCAAGCAACTCACGCGGCTGGCGCTCTTCTTCAACGAGCTCACCGGCAAGATCCCGCCGGAGGTCGGCAACATGACGGCGTTGCAAATCTTGGACGTCAACACCAACAACCTGGAAGGCGAGCTGCCTTCCAGTATCTCGTTGCTGAGGAACCTCCAGTACCTGTCAGTGTTCGACAACAGCATGAGTGGTACCGTCCCACCAGACCTCGGCGCAGGGCTGGCATTGACCGATGTGAGCTTCGCGAACAACAGTTTCTCCGGCGAGCTGCCGCAGAGCCTCTGCGACGGCTTCGCGTTGAATAACTTCACGGCGAACCACAACAGCTTCAGCGGAAAGCTGCCGCCCTGCTTGAAGAACTGCTCCGAGCTGTATCGGGTGCGGCTGGAGGGGAACCATTTCACCGGCGACATCTCGGAGGTATTCGGGGTCCACCCCAGCATGGGCTACCTGGACATCTCCGGGAACAAGCTGACTGGTCGGCTTTCAGATGACTGGGGACAATGCACCAAGATCACACGCCTGAAGATGGATGGCAACAGCATATCAGGCGCCATTCCGGCGGCGTTTGGGAACATGACAAGCTTGCAGGACCTCAGCTTGGCTGCGAACAACTTGGCAGGCGCTATTCCACCTGAGCTGGGTAATCTCAACTTCTTGTTCAATCTCAACCTGAGCCATAACTCCTTTTCCGGGCCGATTCCGACAAGTTTGAGCAACAATTCCAAACTGCAGAAACTTGATTTGTCAGGGAACATGCTTAATGGGACCATACCGGTGGGCATCGACAATCTTGGCTCACTAACCTATCTTGATTTGAGCAAGAACGAATTGTCAGGGCAGATACCAAGTGAGCTCGGTAACCTGTTTCAGCTGCAGACCCTGCTGGATTTGAGCAGCAACTCACTGTCTGGTCCTATCCCTTCAAATCTTGTGAAACTGGCGAACCTACAGAAACTGAATTTGTCACACAATGAGCTCAATGGTTCAATTCCAGCAAGTTTCTCTCGCATGTCGAGCCTGGAGATTGTTGATTTCTCTTACAATCAGCTCACCGGTGAAATACCGTCAGGCAATGCTTTCCAGAACTCTTCGGCTGAGGCTTACAATGGGAACCTAGGGCTTTGCGGCAATGTGCAAGGCATTCCTTCTTGCGATCGCATCTCCACTTCAGGGCGTCACAAGAGAACAGTCATCGAAATAGTTTTCTCAGTAGTTGGGGCAGTGTTGCTGGCAGGCATTGTTGCTTGCCTCATCCTAGCATGCAGAAGGAGACCCAGGGAACAGAAAGTGTTGGAGGCAAGCACAAACGATCCTTATGAATCCGTGATCTGGGAGAAGGAAGGGAAATTCACATTCCTCGACATCGTGAATGCCACCAACAGCTTCAATGAATTCTTCTGCATCGGTAAAGGCGGGTTTGGGAGCGTGTACAAGGCCGAGCTCCCCATTGGGCAGGTCGTGGCCGTGAAGCGCTTCCATGTGGCTGAGACAGGAGACATATCAGAAGTGAGCAGGAAGAGCTTCGAGAACGAGATCAAGGCACTGACAGAGGTCCGTCACCGGAACATCGTCAAGCTCCATGGCTTCTGCACGAGTGGAGACTACATGTACCTGGTGTATGAGTACCTGGAGAGGGGCAGCTTGGGAAAGACATTGTACGGGGAAGAGGGCAAGAAGAAGCTGGACTGGGGCATGAGGGTGAAGGTGGTCCAGGGGGTTGCTCATGCCCTTGCCTACCTCCACCATGACTGTAGCCAGCCCATTGTTCACCGTGACATCACTGTGAACAATATCCTGCTTGAGTCAGAATTTGAGCCGCGGCTGTCTGATTTTGGTACGGCGAAGCTGCTTGGCTCTGCTTCTACACACTGGACTTCTGTAGCAGGATCATATGGCTATATGGCTCCAGGTAATCTTGCATCTGGTTACTATTCATGGACCATATAGTTTTACAGATTTTACTTGAATACATAACACCTGATCTGAACTATTAAGTATACACCAGTAACAACTAAGATCCCTCTTAGGCTCCTAGTGCTGAAAAGAAATATAATGTTACGAAAAGCAACATTCTTTCAGATATTTTCATTAACACTGAGGCACTTTGTTTGATGATGTATCGCGACGCAGCATACTAACTTGTGTCATGTCTGGTTTTACTCTTGCAGAATTGGCATACACAATGAACGTCACAGAGAAATGCGATGTTTACAGTTTTGGAGTTGTTGCTCTGGAGGTGATGATGGGGAAGCATCCTGGTGACCTCTTAACCTCCCTGCCGGCTATCTCCTCTTCCACAGAAGAAGATTTATTACTGCAGGACATAATAGACCAGCGGTTGGAACCTCCAACGGGTGACCTTGCAGAAGAAATTGTGTTTGTGGTGAGAATCGCGCTCGCTTGCACACGGGCAAATCCCGAATCGCGGCCTTCGATGAGATCAGTTGCTCAAGAGATATCAGCGCATACTCGAGCTTATCTTTCAGAACCGTTCAGACAGATCACAGTAAGCAAGCTAACAGACTACCAGAAGTGATGTTTGTCTGTGCAAATGTTTGAAGCTCAACAAGTGAAATTTGTAGTTAATGTATTTTTTTTATGCAGTTTGAGAGGACTAATTTTCCCTCAGTTTGCATACTGATAGACCACGAAACTATTCTGGAGATCCTTAGAAGTCTATATGTACACAAAGTTAGCTGTATTAAATTCGCTACTATGCTGATGTTCGTTTTCCCCCCTGCCAAGGGGCTAAACATGCAACTGTACGGCAGATGGTGGAAAGCCACAAGTTGTAACTTGTAAGAGGTGTTCTTCAGCCACTTTGCTTATTATTTCTCAAATATGACAAGAGCGTTCTCTGAGATGATACCGCACATTGTGACCAGATTGTGTTTTTCTACTTAAATGCAAGGCAGAGCTCTTGCCATTTTCGTTTTAAAAAAATACCGCACAGATGTCTCACTACCTGAATATTTCCCTGGAAGTCAGGAATCAGGACAAGTGCTGCTGGCTACAGCGCCCACATAATTGTAGAAATACACCAAGTAAAGTAGCGCGGTTAGAAAATGGTCTTTACCAGTACAAAAAAAAAGACCCTACAGGTGCATATAAAGTGACCTATATTTATTTATTGAAATTACAGTACAACCACCGACTACAATTCTTTTGAACTTGTTCCCAACATCTATCATGCTGGTGCAGTGGTGCTCAACGTGGTTGAGGAATCCCGTTTGCTATCAACAAGTGAGTACCTTTTTGTGGTGCATCTGCTAGGATCGGCTGGCAGCCTGTAACGATCTAGCTTCGTTTGGCAGCACCCAACTAGCTGGATAACAGCTAGGCGCAACCAGATAGCTAGAATTTTGGGAGGAGAGGAAGACCAGGGTAATTTAGGGTTCTATGTTTGACTGTTTGTTTGTTCAACATGTCTGAATGCTCAACTACAGGACATATTAGACATTGCAGAAGAACTGTACATGTTCGTCGCATACGCAGGCATATCTTTCTGAGCCGTCCCAGTATTAAGCAAACTAACAGGCTAAATGTTAGCCCACTAGATCACCGGCTCAGGTGAGTCGACCACTCACCAGTCTTGTCGACCACGGCCGAACACGACAGACGTTATCCGACCACACACTATGGTCAGAGATAGAAATAAGAAGGGAGAACAAAGCATACACAGTACAAGCACCAGCGTTGGCCGGAGCCCTGTATAGGAGATGGTAAATCTAAACTCTCTTTGTTGAGTTGCAGTGACAAACTATATATACAACTCTATCCATTTAGTCAGATGAGGCAGATGAGCCATTTGGATTGACTTGCTCTTCTGCTTGTGGCTACTGTTATAAAGATGAGCCGTTTGGGAGCCCTTTTCTCTGATACCACAATGAGGGAGCCTTTTTCCTTGTGCTGTGTGTTCACACAATGAAGCAGTAGGTTATCTAATAATTCTTCTTCTAATCCTACTGCTATCCCTCGTACCCCCTCCATGCTGATCATCTCCTTCAGCTCCATGAGTCGAAGACGTCCGAGCGGCTTGGTGAGGACGTCCGCGAGTTGCCGACCAGTTTCGACGAACTCGCTGACGATCTGCCCTTCATCGACACAGTCCCTGAGGAAGTGAAACTTCACGTCGATGTGCTTGCTCCGGTCGTGGAGAACCGAATTCTTCGCGAGAGCGATGGCGGGCTAGTTGTCCACCATCGGTCTTTGGTGGGTGAGCTTCGACCGGTCATTTCGCCCAAAGAAGCCGGCGCAAGAACCACACAACAGCACGCCGGTGGGCGGCCGCGACGTACTACTGCCGCCGACGAGACAGCGCCACCACCTTCGCTTTTGACGACGACCATGAAATTGGAGCCGACCCGAGGAAGACGAGCACGCCAGAGGTGCTCCGTCGTCCGTCGATGGCCCCCGCCATGTCTGCATCGCTGAACACAGTGAGCTGCAGCCTACTCCCGCCGGTCTTGGGGAAGATGATCCCCTGATCCACCATCCCCTTGACGTAGCGTAGTAGCTGCTTCACCGCAACCCAATGATCCTCTCTGGGATCCTCCATGAAGCGACTGACGTAGCCCACGGCGAACGCAATGTCCGGCCTCGTATGGACTAGGTAGCATAGACCGTCGACGATGCTCCGGTAGAGTGTTGCATCCACCTTCGCCGTGGTGCTGGCCTTCGTCAGCTTCAGCCGCTCCTCCATCGGAGTCACGCAAGGCTTGCACTCAGCCATGCCGCTCTGCTCCAACAGCTTCGAGGTATACGCGCTCTGACCGAGCGTGAGTTCCTCCTTCCCTTGTCTCACCTCGATGCCAAGGTAGTAGAAGAGTGCGCCGAGATCACTCATTCGAAAACGAGCCGCCATCCCGTGCTTGAAGCTGTTGATGTCCTCTGCACGTGCGCCGGTGACTATCAAGTCATCCACATACACGCCGACGACGAGCTCCTCCTTCCCCCATCGCCGCGTGTAGAGCGCGTGCTCGGTTGCGCACCGCTGGAACCCAAGCTTGCCCAGCGTGGCGTCAAGCTTGGCGTTCCATGCTCGTGGGGCCTACCGTAGCCCGTAGAGCGCCTTGCGCAGTCGAAGCACCCTGTGCTCCGCTCCCTTGATGGCGAAACCTAGAGGTTGCCTGACGAAGACCGTCTCCGCCAGCTCACCGTTGAGGAAGGCCGATTTAATGTCCAAGTGATGGACACGCCAGTCCTTTGCTGCTGCCAAGACTAGTTTCAAACGAACAGACTCCATGCACGCTACTGGTGCAAAGACTTCCTCGAAGTCGATGCCCTCGCGCTGAACAAAGCCTCAGGCGATGAGACGCGCCTTGTGCTTGACAATGGCACCGAGCTCGTCCCGCTTGACCATGTACACCCACTTCAGGCTGATCGAACGACATTCTGGAGGTGGATCGAGGAGCTGCCATGTCTCATTTTCCTCGACCACCTTCATCTCCTCCAGCATCGCTCATCACTAGTTTCCATCGCGCTCCGCCAGCGCGAACATGGGTGGTTCCTCTGCACTGACGAGCAGCAGCTCTTGGTCATTGAGCAGCCGACCAGCCAGGCCTGAGGGCCCTATGCCACCGATGATGTCATCCAGCCTGCGGAACCGCACCTCCTCACCTTCGTGGAGGGCATCCATGAACTCAGTGATGTCACTTGGAGGTAAGTAGAACTCGATCGGTATCGATGGAGTTCCCTGTTCCGTCGGAGTGCTCGGTACAGCACCTGGAGTGCTCGGCACTACTCCTAGACAGCTCATCACCACTCCTGGAGTGGTTTGCACCCCTCCCGGAGTGCTCGGCACACGTCTTGCAGTGGTCGGCACTACTGCAAGACCCCTCGGCTCCGCTATGGGAGTGCTCGGCACCCGTCCTAGAGTGGTCGCCACCACTGCAGAACCTCCCGGCACCACTCCTGGCGTGCTCGGCATCCCTCCTGGAGTGCTCAACACTCCTCCCTGAGTGCTTGGCATCCCTCTCGAAGTGCTCGGCACCGCCCCAGGAGTGCTCGGCTCTGTTGTTGGAGTGCTCAATACCCCTCCCGGAGTGCTCGACACCTCTTCCCTAGCGTCGCCACCACCGTGGATGACTAGGTGCTCGACGACGAAGGTGCTGGTGTAGCCACCAGCTTCACCCCTGCTCAGACTGTTCCAGTCCCAAGCCGCCTTCTCATCGAACACGATGTCGCGCGAGACAAGTACCTTGTCTCCGCGTGGGTCATAGAGCCGGTATGCCTTGGTACCCTCCGTGTAGCCTAGGAACACCATCGGTGTGTTCCTGTCCTCCAGCTTGGTGAGGATCGGCTTCGTCTTCCTGATGTGGCCGATGCAGCTGAATGTCCGAAGGAAGGACACGCTCGGCTTGCGCCCATACCAAGCTTCGAACGACGTCTTGCCCGTTAGGGCCTTGGTCGGAGCACGGTTGAGGATGAACACCGTCGTGGTCACCGCCTCAGTCTAGAACCATGCCGGCATACCTTTGGCCTTCATCATTGATCGAGCCATGCCGACCACCGTCTGTTTCTGCCTCTCCACCACACTATTCTATTGTGGCAAGTACGACGTGGTGTGGTGGCGCACCACACCCTGATCCGCGCAGTACGCAGCGAACTCTACTGAAGTGAATTTGCTGCCGCGATCAGTCCTCGGCACGCGGAGCTTCTTACCGCTCTCAGCCTCCGTGCGCATCTTGAACTTCTTGATCACCGCCGCCGCTTCGTCCTTGCTAGTCAGGAGTTGCAGCCACATGTAGCGACTACAATCATCCATGAGCAGGAGGAAGTACTGCCGACCACCATTTGTGGCCGGTGTGATCGGCCCACAGAGGTCGCTGTGGATGAGCTCGAGAGGATCCTTCGTGCAATACTTGGCCGCCTTTTGGAATGGTAGCCTCCTCTGCTTCCCGACCAGGCAGCTGTCACACAGCTCGCCTCCGTGCTCGATGTGGGGTAGCCCTCACACCATCTTCTCTAGTCGACCAAGCGCGTCAAAGCTGAGATGTCCGAACCGGGCATGCCACAGCTACGGTTCCTCGGTGTGCCTTGCCGCTAGGCACACCGGCTGCTCTACCTTCAGGTCGAGCAGATACAACCAGTTTAGGGACCTCTTCACCTTGGCGAGAAGTCACTACTTCCGGTCCCTGATCCTAAGGACTCCGTCCTTGATCAGTACCTCGCTACCGCGCTCATCTAGCTGACCAATGCTGATGATGCTAGAACGCTGCTGTGGGATGTAATATACATCCGTTAGCGTGCGGTGCTCTCCGTTCTGGCACCTGAAGATGATGGTGCCACGCCCTCGAATAGCCACCCTTAAACCGTCATCAAACTTCACCGTACCGGTAACATCGTCGTCGAGCTCGGAGAAGGCTGCCTTGGAGCCCATCATGTGGTTGCTGGCACTAGAATCCAGATACCACCGCTGCTCCTGGTCGGCGCCCACATGTCCAAGGTGGACTTGGGCGCGCGGTTCGTCGAGGTTGATAGCCTTCAGGGCCTTCCTAGGTCCTTCCACCGTTGTCACCTCTCCCTTCTCCTCGACCTCAACGTCGTGCAGTGTACAGAACGTCGCCATCAGGATAGTGGCCTCATCATCATCATCAGCTTGCACCAGATGAGCCTCAACCTTCTTCTCCTACTTGCGATTTGGGCACTCTCGTGCCCAATGGCCCGTCTCCCCGCAGCGTCGATAGGCATTGGGGTCGACCTGCTTCTTCTTCACCAAAGAATCCTTGCCGCGGTGAAAGGATCAAGATACCTAAGAGGGGGGGTGAATTAGGCTAATTCTAAATTTCTTTGCAATAATT